CAACGAAGGTTTTTCTGTTTATGAAGAGACTTTAATCACTTAAACGCTGTTTTACTTAGCACTGACAGGAGGCCTGGTATACATATAAAATGTGTTATATTTCATAACACGTGCATTAAAAGTGAACTGATACTGCAATAAATCTGGGAGAAAATTACATCAAGCACTTTTTGGAAAAACGTATAACACTAAATCAAAAAACCCTGTCAAGATACACATACATACACAAACACACATAGCTCTATGATTCAGGAAGCCGGTCATGTTTTTCCATACAAAACTAAAAGGTCCTAAGAGCAGCAGCAGCAGAGTGACTTCCTTTTGCCAAAGGGCCAAATTCCACATGGTCCGTGATCATTAACCCACCCAGGCTGACCCAGACCCCCCACCTCCTAAACACTCAACATAGTTCTGGGGAAAGCCTCAACTTCACAATCAGCTGTTAGGTCTTTTCTCTTGGCAGGCACCTTCTATAAACTTCTGAAGAGGATGTAGGTTCTCCTGCTGCTGTCAACATCTCAATCTTTCTCACTTTCACGGCACCAGATATGCCAGCCGATGGCGAGAAAGGCATGAGTAAATTAACTGTGGGTCACGCTGAATACAAAATGCATATAAAGTAGCTGTTCAAGCTAAATCCGACTTTACAACTGAAATAAATAAATTATACCCTGGTACTCCTTAGGCCAGGCTGGCTGTTCATTAAACAGCAGATTCCAAGTGGAGGCTGCTGTTTTATTAATAAATCTTTTAGCATCCCTCTTAATGCAATGGTAAAACAAACGTTGCTAATTATATTGAGAAGACATGAATTATGATGTTCAAACTGAGAAAAATCTTCCCAATCATAATATCAATGTTAACACTGTTTTTATATTCAGTAAAATGTCTTTGGTGCGTTTTAATTCAGCTTCAAATGCTGCCCTACTTCAGGTCAGTGAGGTCAGCAGGCTAAGGCAAATATCTGTGCCACAGCAATCTGATCCCTTTTTACTTGGTATGCAGTTAATGAGCTTTTTGAACCCTCATTAGACACAACTTCCCCCAACACACACACACAAGCTTTTTACCCCCACTCTCTCAAAACGTGTGCCAGCCCACTATTGTCTGGCAGTGGGGAGACATGCAGCTGCCTGCAGTCTGGTCAGTACCACACGAGGGGGAAACACACAAGGCAAAGGTTAAAGTTTGTCATTTATTTCATACTGTGTGTGTGTGTGTGTGTGTGTGTGTGTGTGTGTGTGTGTGTGTGTGTGTGTGGGTGTGTGTGTGTCTCTGTGTGTGTGTGTGTGTGTGTGTGTGTGTGTGTGTCACTGTGTGGGTGTGTGTGTCACTGTGTGGGTGTGTGTGTGTGTGTCACTGTGTGGGGGCTTTTCGGAAAGGAGCCCTTGCTTAAATTACTATTATGAAAGCTTGGAAGGTCAAAGCGAGGCAGGCTCTGCAGTGTGCTGGAATGCAACCAGGCATAGATGGAGGTAACTCTTTACGTGCCTTTTATATGTGACACAGATGGATTTTCAAGTAAGCTTCCATTAAACTCATGAAAGCACAGTCTTTCAGGGGGAAATGCTTAATTATGTTTAAAATAATATTAACATTAATGTAGTTGTTTGCCAGCAGGTCTCTTTATCGAAAGTCTACATCTGAACATAAAAGTTAATCATCTTACAATGGGTGTTATGTGCTGCTGCTGTTCTGCTTATTATATATTAATTAAACCATTACGGGTTCTGTCATTGTTTGCTTATTTCTCATGAGATTTGGAACAGTTTGGTGTCTCTCAAATAATGTTAAAAGTACATTTATCTCTCGGAGGACACCAGTAGGCCTACTACAATGATGGAGTTTTCTGTAACTCTACAATGCACTTTTTATAGCATTAACACTCATCTGGGCTGAGGGTTCCTTTTAGTTTCTGGCTAGAACAGACTATATTTTAGCATGGACTCTTTATTAACGTTACTCTGCAGCAAGTTAATAAAATAGGACAACTGAGGAGCTCCGCAGACCCACTTTCCTTTCTCTTTTGACTAGCGGCAATGAACGGCAAAGTGGAAGTGGATCTCTCGGAAATCGACGTGTTAAAGTGACAGCCGTCCTTCCTCGTTTAATTCACAAAATAAGGCTTAATATCTCACCCTAACTTGTAACAACCCCTCTGTAAATAGTTGAAGGCCTCAAATAAAGTGGAGAAGAAAACACCCAGGTATCCGCTTACGGGGTTCCCGTGTCTGGCCTCCACTCTGATTTCGCCGTGTTTTCGGATAAGCATTTTGAAGCACGGGCTACAATTCAAGTGAAGTGTGCATGCTACTGACCTGAATAAACTGGATAGTCAGGGCTGATTTCCCGACACCACCTCCTCCGACCACCACCAGCCGATACTTCTCCTGCACCGAGCCGTCCTTCCAGCCTGCCATCGAGGACACTTCGCTGCTCGCCGCCGCCGCCGCCGCCGGAACACCAGTGAGCAGCAAACACCCACTTTTTCCTGTAAAGTGAAGAGGCCCTGCAGTGTGAGACACCGGAGAAAAGAGTCCAGAAACGTGCGGGAAATGACTCGTCGGTGTAGTCCGTTTAATGCACGGATAGATAGATAAGGAAGGGTCTACGGAGCTACGGGCGCCTGTCCATACGCCTGACCGTGATTCAGCCTCGACAACACTGCGTTGTTCGAGCAGAGGATCCGGGAGTAGAGTGAACAGCCAGACCAGTACTAATGTCTGGCGCTAGGGGCCCTTCTACAGGCTGTGTGTGACTGAACACCACGCCTACAGTACACACACACACACGCACACACGCACACACACACACACACACACACACACACACACACACACACACACACACACACACACACACACATATCCCTGTCCTGAGACTATCATACTCCCCTGCAGTCACATTCCTGTCCTCACACACAGCCTGAGCACACACATAAAAGCTGTGCCTGCCTTCTCTAACAGCAACAAATTACACAGGGATGATAAAGATGCCCTGCAGCTATAGCTATAGTCATAGTGTAAACCTCCAGTAGGCCTAATAAAAACTGTATTTATTTTTGTTTTCTTCACAAGTCTCCAATTAGATGTTTTGTATGCCATATGAATTAAAAAAATAAAGAAGAAACTACTCACCGAAATACAGTATACTGCTACTGCCTCACAAGCAAATTACAAAGTCAGGAGACTGACAAGCTCTGCAGTATCATGTTTCTGATTCTTCCGTAATCTAGACTGCTTAATTGTTATAAACCCTTATTTATTGTCTGCATTGCTCGATTGGAAGAACAACATTTTTACATCTCATATTAGATTTCAACACCAGGTTAAGGGTAATTGGTTACAGTAAATATAAAAATGTTACATCGGCCTTCTTCAGTCATTGGAAATCAGAGTCAGAATCGGTTTTATTAACTTATAGGTTTACAGATAGAAGGAATTTTTACGTTTTAGCAATGCACAAGAAGAGTAATTTTCCATGAAAATGTAGTATTTATCTAATTAGATTATCAGCAGTGCATTTTACCAATAAAAAGGTTGATATAAATATCAAATCGTAATGTAAATTCTAAAAATAAATAATATAAACACAAATAAAACTCACTTTTGTTCCTCTCAGATACACCTTTATTAGTGTATTCATGTAACAGTGACAGTTAATGTTCAAAGGCTTAAGGTTGTCTTATTCTAGTCAAATGGTGGTCACATGGTGTTTTCATGATAGGTGCAAATAAAAGGGATGGACTCTGATTTTTTACGTCACTTAAATGGCACTCAGTCTGAAAAATAGAATTAAGCCAGTCCATCTGAAAGGACAGACTTAACTTCAGTGTGTACAAGCATGACTTTTTTGTATTATGTCAACATTTCAAGTAAATGCCATGTTATGACAAATCTGACTACAGGATTATGATGTGCAGGGTGCCAAAGCACTGTTTGATTCGACACATGTGGCGCCACCTAGTGTCAGAAGAAGGAGGCTGGATGCGAAACAGTGCACTAATGTGTCATTCAAAGTCTTGATTGAGAGTATGAAAGTTTGTTTCAGGCATTCATTTAAATAGTCGTTTCATTATGGAGAGTAGTTAGAGTGCTAAACCTTTGAACTCACCCATAAGGCCTTAAGCTCAGGACAAGCTTGTTAGCAGCTGAGAAAGAGAAATGAAGCAGCATTTTTTGTATAAAATGCATGACAGGCGTAATAAAAAAACTGCCCAGTAAACTGAAAGTGTCCAAAGATATATATATATTTTTACAGTTACCTTGAACAATGAAAAGTATTTTTGACACTGGGCTTGGTGCTATATAGTAAAACCACTTACAAACACTGTTTCACAGACACAGCCCCCTATAAAAGAGTCCCTATAAAAATGATAAATCAAAGAATGTTCGAGTACTTTGTGTACAAGACAAATCACCAAAATAGAAAAACTTAGCAAAAACACAGGGTGTAAAAGCTTAACGGTTTTATGGAGTTTAGATTTAATTGTAATAATGATGGATAATATCTACCATAAATCCAAAGAGGCCGTACAATGCTGACAGTAGGTTGTCAGTGGCCGTTTCTCAAATTCAAGTACCGTATACTACGTCATTGAGTGGCGCCGAATGCTGGGCATTTAAACAGTCCTTCGGAGCCACTCAATGACGTAGTATACTTGAAATAGTGGCTCTGCAGCAGCTTTACTCAACATTGAGAAACGGCCAGGCCGTTTCTCAATGTTGAGTAAAGCTGCTGCAGAGCCACTATTTCAAGTATACTACGTCATTGAGTGGCTCCGAAGGACTGTTTAAATGCCCAGCATTNTTATTGTTTTTACTTCGGCTGTGACTTTGTGTGTGCTCAGGGTGAGTTTGGCTGTGTTTCGCTGTGTATCGCTAAACAAGGAAACCACACCTCCACGGAGCTCAGCGCGATTCACAACGTCCCGACCAATCAGAGCACACTGTGCTCACAGGGAGGGTGGGGGCTGGAGCTANAGCGAAACACAGCCAAACTCACCCTGAGCACACACAAAGTCACAGCCGAAGTAAAAACAATAAGTGTGGCTTGATATTGAGTAAGAAAAAGGTTGATAAACGCTGTGAGAATGGGTCTGCAGAGAGAATTTCTCCGCGATCCCAACTGCCTGTTATCAGCCTGCAGCCAGGGAGGAGAGATCCGCAGAGCTGCATGCACTGAGTGTGTGTGTGTGTGTGAGGAAGTCCGTGGATTGGTCAATTTGGACCAATCAGCAGGGGGCTTAACGTAACGGCTCCGCGGACGTCACGTAACGGCTCCACGGATTGGTCCATTTGGTTCCGGGTACCGCATGACGTTAAGCAGTACCCGGAAGAAACATTGGACAATGATGTATCAGTGACGAATCTCCAACGAGGCGTTTTGGGGAGGTATTTTCTGTGTTAGAATTTTACTCCCTACAGGGTGTACTTTTTTGAGGGTTTTGACTCTGCAGACCGTTTACATGCATAAAAACCTTCATAACACACAAGGGGACGGGTAATAACTGGAAAAGCATGACATGGGCCCTTTAAGACGATAAACCAAAAGATTATCTTACCAATGTTTCCGAATATGATGCCATTCTCAGTCGAGGCCACTTTAACATTAGCCTTGATGTTAGCAAAATCGTGAGGAGCCAGAGTTAAAGGTGAAGGCTTCTCAACCAACTTGAGATCACCTGTGGGATGGACACAATTAGTGGAATGCAAACATAACGACTAGTAACAAAAAAATACGAGGGGCTTGATCATCATTAAAGGGGAGAACATGTTCGTATGTCCAGTGAGGTGAAAAAAAAAACAGACTAACCTAAAGTGGCCAGCTCAAGAGTGCAATTCTGGAGAGTGTCATTGGTTTGGTTGACCACCAGCACGTCCAACACAATGTCATACTGGTTGACATGAACATAGGCTTCAGCATACACTGGGTCTGAGAACCCTGTCAGCTGGGTCACCTAGAGTGGACAAAAATACATTAATACTTTTAATCATCAATTATAATGCAAGTACAAATGTTTCCTCACAGTAAGCAATTAAAAAGTACATTTGTATACCATTTACTTTTACAAGGTTTTAACAGCAGTGCATTTGCACAGCAAGACCTCAAGCAGCAGGATTAAAAAAGAAAAATGATACTCGTAGCTGTGTGTGTGTCCCTGCATACAAAACTGTTATACCCGCAGTCAAATTAAATAAAAAATAAATAATGCAACAACTTAAATGGTAGAATATGAAATCCAAACGAAACAACTGTTTTTGTTGCCACTGTGCAATCAAAAACAGTAACTCCACAAAAGGCACACTAAGGTGTTCAAATATTTATGCATTATAAATGGAAGAACAAATGAATAAAATCTCAAAACAAATTAATATAATTCCCAAGTTGATCTTTCTCAATGTAATTTCCAGTTGCAGTGCAGAGCCTGTGGGGGTACCTTGTTGAGTTTTGAAGCCAGGGGATCATTAGCCTCTTTCCTCTGAGTGTTGCCCATAGCAGCCAGCAGACTGAGCTGGAACTGGTCCTCTTTAGAAGTCATCTCGTTTTTGGCGGTCAGCTGCATGAAGGAGATCGGGTCGTCTGCCTGCACTGTTACGCTTCGTTTCTCAGACTCTTTCTGTGGTCAGAATAAGAAACACATTGGGTTATTTTGAAGGGGATAATCGAGCATATAGTTGTCCCACCAAGAAAGATTCAAGACACTTAAATAGTCAGGCCAAGATGTGAAAACAAATTAGTTAGAGACATATGTATTTCAATTAGAATCAAGTTACATTTATCAGCAAAGATATGGAGCAATTATGTTTTTGTCAAGAGACGCTGAAACCCTCATAAATTAATGCCATAAATAATAATAATAATAATACATGTTATTTATAAAGCACTTTTCCTGTTGCTCAAAGCTCTTAAAAAAGGCAATACATTCTTAAAAACAAAACGTATTTGTCTTATAAACACTATATGTATATTTACAAGCATAAAACTGAATTTGTAACATTCATAAATAAGTGCTGGGTCAAAAAATATGCAATTTACAAATAAAATGTGACTTCCTCTTCTTGTGGCGATGCCTCAGCTGGTTAAATAACAGGAGGTTAAATAGCGTTACCTTCTGCGAAAGCTTCTCCTCCTCCAGTCTGACGGTCAGCATATGTGACAGGGATCTGCGGCACTCCTTGTTGAAAATGTCATTCATAAGAGGCGAGCACTCCGACAGGACCTTGAGGCACAGCGAGATGCGGTCCACATCGTCGTCTGTGATGGGCTTCTTGGGCAGAGAGGACTTGCCCAGGTGCAGCACAGTGACCATGATCAGCATGGACTCTGCCACAAAGGACTGAAGGGACAGCAAGACAACAGGGGTTAGAGAAACAGTCAGCTGGTTCATTGTTTTTGACAGAAGTGGTCAGTAGAGTGGAAAGAGGGCGACATACATTTTGTTTCTTTTTGTCTTGAACAATTCCAACATAACGCAGGGCAACTTTGGTCAGGGTGGTGGCCAGGGAAGCTGCCACATAGAAGTCTCCGTCCATCAGGAAGCCTCTGAGTGGAGGTCTGGAACAACAGAAGCAGTGTTTATTGAGTGAGTTCACTGTGCAGACAATCAATGGAGTATTAGAGGAGAATAATGAGCCTTTCTTTACCTATCCTCTTCTTTTTTAGAAGGCCTGTTGGAGCTGAGGGCGCTCTGCGTCACATAGGTTCCCATCTCTGTCACCAGCTTCTGGGCTGGAGCCGCGCTCACTTCATCATCTGCTTTCACCTCCCCCGAGTCTCTCTTGATCTCATTTTCTACGATGGGGATCTGTCCAGGCAAGAGATGGATGTTAGGTCCATTGGGCTTGTCAAGTGAGATTTTTTCCATTTAATACTAATAACAGGGTATATGCAGGAATCCTGAAGTCAGATGTAATACCTTTTAGGACCTTTTTTAAGACCCTTTCCATACATTTCAAGACCTCATGGCCACTTGGAGTTCTAACCGGTTACATTGGCGACACACTTTACCTCACATTGACTATATACAGTATTGATTGTCCTTCCTCCTTATCTTCCAACCATTTGGACGCAAACTTGCATTTCCCCATAACGAGTTGTTTAACAACCGGTGTAAACGGAGCTTTGCGCGCCATCAAGCAGTGAGCGTGCGATGTCCTGTTCAGATGACGTCAAATCCAACGGGATGCCATAAATAAACTACACAGAATCACACTACACACCTACGCAATGATTACATTCAGGCAGACTGTAGAATACAACCTCTTTGGACAATTTATATACTTATTGAAAACAAGCTACAAAATGTAATACCTTGGAAAATGCCGTTTAATACTTTTTAAGACCCCGCGGACACCCTGAATAATAATAATGGACGTACCTCTCCCAAAGACCTGCGTACTTCTGTCATCACACTCTGGATGTCATCCTTGGTGCTGCAGTATTCTCCCAGGATCCACAACGCTCCCCTGTAGATCCTGAATTAACACAACGGTGACAATGTTGAAGAGCATTGACAGAACTACGTACTCCTGTATTGATACACTACCTAGCCAAATGGCATTCGACAAATGTGACTTGAGGTAAAACATAAAGTGACTATCAGACCAGAATGACCAAAATCAGGCAAAATTCATTCTTTGTTTAAGGTTGGTTTGTATATGTTTGATTATTTGTGCTCTTGTACCCTTTTTTAAATCACATCATTTCAGAGGAGACATAATTGAAGAACAACTCAAGTGTGTGATTTGGCCTCACATGAGTCTCTTTATTAACACATAGTATAATAAAAAGCATGTGCCCGATGACAGAACAAAATGACAGTTCAGCTCGTACTTTTAGTATTAGTACGAGTAATGACTTCAGATTAGCACAAACTGAATAGAAAAGGATGTACTTATTTGTTGATTGACTTGCCTATGTATCCATATAAAATAGTCTAGCCTAAACTGTACCTGCTTTTGTTTATATCTATTAGGATGGCATTACCAAGACATTGTATAATATTCCCCTTAATGTGCTTAGAAAGCCTTACTTGACAGTTTTGATGGCGTGAAAGACTTCCAGCATCTTCTCGATGATGAGGGGTCTCAGGCTGTCAAACCTCTGAATGGCCTCCCTCACAAACTCCAGCACGTCAGCAGCAGCTGCCTCATTAGTGTCACTGAGGAACTCCATCAGCTGTAAATCATAACAACACGAAGAAAAGCCTTACTATATACTCATACTTTATTATATAAGCCGCGTTCACACCGCACTACTTTTCCCACTTTAGTTCCGATATAGTTCCGAAATGTCGCGTTCACACCAAAAAGAGCCGGAACTAAAATTAGTTCATCAGGACCTTTTTTACCCCCTTTTCCGTCCCTGCTAGAGAGCAGGGACTTTCGTGGGAGAAAAAGGTTCCTATGTCTGATTGGCTGGGCGGAAAAGTTTTGTGACGCCGCCATTTTATTATCCTTGCATTAGTATTAGAGACTAACTTATGGCAACACAAAAGAAAATATGGGAGCGGTGGAGATTAGGAGGTGTCGGCGTTCTGGCGATTTACTCGGGGACTTCCGGCCGGGGACTTCAGGTGGCAGTATACGCCGTGAAGTTGTTTGCGGCCTGCCAGTAAACCCAAAGCAGAAGAAGAAGAAGTGACGTCAGCGGCTTCATTTGCCTAATCCACCCCCAGGAACTTATTCCGGTGTGAACGCGATCTGTACTTAGTTCATGAGAACTAAAGAGTTCTCATGAACCTTTGTGGGAAAAGTACTGCGGTGTGAATACACCTATAGTGTCATACATACAAACCACCATTGAGACCATTTCAGAAAGCTATAAAATATAACAAATGTCACGAGCATCTTGTTACTGGTGTGTTTAAATGATAGGAAACTCACCACAGGTATGACATTGGCCGCCATGTCAGGGAAGCGCACACTGCAGGAATGGAGAGTGCGTACCAGAAGCTGCCGGTACTTATCAGTGTCTTCATGTTCCGTTACATTGTTTGTCTTGATCACTTCCTTCTTCAAAACTATCACCAACTGGAAAGAAAATAGATTTCACTTTATTGGCAGTATATAACCTGTTTTGTCTGTGTACACGCCTGGACAAAATAATAACAACAACAATAACTTTGATATACTGCGCGCCACTGACCTCTTCTACATTGCGAGATGAAACCAGGTCCAGTGCCAGCTGCAAGGTCTTCTTCCTGACTTCCAGGTCAGGAGTGCTGAGGACACGCAGGATGTCCATCACAAGATCCTGGATAGAAATACAAATATATTGGTGAAAAACAAAATTACTTCCTAACAGAGATGTAGCACTGTAGGCTCAGCAAACTGTTGCAGTGTCCTAATATAACTACGTTTGCTAGATTTGTATATCTTACTGACTTTTCTGCTGCTTTTGACTCTAAAATTGTATTCTGTACATTTTCATATATATTTGTTGTAATTATTGTTGCTTATATGATGTTATATCCTATCAATCCAAATCAGGTTATTGATGGTTAATTGTAGTTAAAAAAAACAGCAATAATTCAACGTACCTGGAGTACACGCTCGTGAGTGGGATGCTCCTTCAGCTCAATCAGACGATCGAGAACAATGAGCTTCACATTGTTGTCGCTCTCCTTGATGATCAGATCAATGTAGCACTGGGCTGCAGCCTGAAGTCCGACAAAGCAAAAGATGAATAAACGACTGTACAAGACATCACTGCTACTCGCTCCAATGCAGTACAATATCACTACCATATATACGGTATATTGACAAAACCCGGGTGATGTACCTTAACGGCTGTGGGAGCACTGGAGAGGGTAACAAGAGTGCCAGCAGCCTCATACTTCACAGCCGGGCTGGAGGACTGCAGCAGGTTGTAGATGCAGCGGATAAACCGTGCACGCTCAGAGGGGTTAGCATGGCACACCTAACAGACAGAAGAAACACAGCAAGAGTTCAGACACCAAAGCAGCTCTTGTGGCAGTATGCTGTTATGCTACAAAACTAAGATGAATTAGACTTAATGCTGGCACTCACTTTGTAAATCAGCTCCACAATGACCAGCTGGAGAATGTCGCCAAAAGTGTGAACCTGGTCGATACACGTGCTGAGGTAATCCAGAGCTCGATCCTGTAAGATGTGAATGACATTTGTAAGTTATACCTTTGGGATAGATACTGTAAGTCTAGCGGCACATAATTATAGAAAAATAAGGAAATGGGCAAAATTTGACGGACCTGATCTGCATGAATCAGCATCATGAACGCATTTCTCTTGCAGCTGGCATCTTTCTCATTGACAAGAAAATCATGAATCAACTCTGGAGCATCTGGGATGAGTTGTTCGAAGTTCCTAAAAGAAATAAAGATCATAAGCTGCTTGTTGTTCAACAGTGAATAAAGTACAACATATGTTTATATGGAAAGTCAACTGCACATAAAACCTTTAACAGTTTGTACCTGTAGATGGTGTAAATGGCCAGGACGGCGTTGCGGCGCACGTAACTGTGGCGGTGCTCCAGGCAGGCCCGGATCGCTGGCATGAGTGGCTCCAGCAACTCGGACTCCTTCAGCTTGCACAGGAAGCGCAGAGTGGAGCCACGGATGAACTCGTTTGGATGCTGCAAGTCCTGAAATTAAAAATGTGAGAAAAATGAAAATGGTGTGGATTCAATAGTCACAACACTGCCGAACTGTGCTGCTGTTTAGTTTGTTCCCATTCTGATTATAACAAGCATTCTTTTCCATGCTGTATATTGATGACAGGACACCTGATATAAGAAATATACAGATCTACAGCTTGAGTGGATGAATCTTACCTTTCTGTAGGCATCACAGACCAGGATCATCTCCTGCAGCAGCTTTCCGTCTGGGGTGGTTTTGGGAACAATCTCCCAGAAAATCAGCAGCAGCTTCTTGATGGTGTGGTCTTGAAGAGGCAGCACGAAGCGGATGATGGTCATCAGCAGTCCTGGCAACTTCTCACCATTCAGGATCATGATGATGACCTTCTTCAGCGCTTCGGTCTTTGCCTTGATCTCCCCCTTTTCTGTAGAAAAAAATGTGTCTTACTACTACTACTATCAGCTTGACCCTAAGCATGCATTATGATTTTTGGGATGTTCACTTGTTTGATGAGTGATTCATATTGTTTAGTTGTTTATGTATTAAAACCAACATTGGCTGCAAATTTTTTCTAGTGGAAAAACATTCTACTAAAGAAATAATTCCTAAGACATTAGCTGACACTGAGATGTGTGGGTTATCCTAAATTGGAAAGAACTTAATTTAATGGAAAATATGTTTTGCTTTTGATTCTTTTAAGCCTTTTAACACTTTAAACAGCATACATTGATTTTCATTCCACTCAAATGTATTGCAGTTGGAATTTAGAAAAATAATATAGTCCCTCTAAGGTTTAAATAAGGTAGCTCTGCAAATGAACTGTAAGAATAGTTACCTAGATCAGCCTTAAGTGTGACCTCAGAAGGAGGCTCTGATTCAGATGAAACATTGATCAGAGTGTAACACACGTTCTCTGCAGCCATCATTTTTGCTTCCGGTCTGTAACTGTCTTAGAAGAATCCCAACGAATGTCGATCACTGGACAATAACTGCAAGAAACAGTAAAAGAGTAGATTCAGTAAAAAGGTGGAGAATTTGTTTTTACACAGATGCATAAACATACAGTAAGTAAAGCAAATGTGTAAAAAAAATGTGAATGAACATTGGACACAAACAACATACATTTGCTGAATAGCATCATGTCCTTGAAACAGGAAAAAGCACTGTTGGGTCATATTTCATTAACATTTTCATCAGCAGGCAAAGAAGGCATGGCAAACTGTTATAAGTAATTATTATATCACTCACATTCTTACTTTTAATGGGGAAAAAAAACATTATTAAGTGTAAAAATAATGATTTTATTACTTATTTACGGAATTTATTGTTTATAGGACATTGTCTCATTGTTTATTTAACACTTTAGCCTCACAAACCAGAGGTCCTTCCAGAATATTTTCAAAGGAATGCATGATAAATCAATTAAGTAGTTGTGAATGTAATGTATTAGGTTAGTGTTTGCCCTGCCATAGACTTGTGATCAGTCCTGGGTGATTATCTGACTCAAAACATTCTGGGAGTCTTTAGACCTTGAAAGACTTGGGCAGGAACAGTAAATGGAGAAAAATAATTAAGGGTATCTTCAAAATGTTTTAGCATTATACAGGTGTTGCCTAAAAAGTGATTCTTTAGATCAATGAGGCATTTGTTTGTGGGGCTTCTATGTAAAACTCTTTCAGAAAAACATCCCCAACAGGTGATTCCACCAGCACCTAGTTGTAACAAAAGGAGGAGCTGAATTAATACTGAGTTGTCTTTGGATAGATGTAATTAACATTAGGTGGTTACTTAGTTACATAATGGTAGTGTTTGCTAGGTTCGGCTTTATTATGTAAAAACGCGATGGCTGTCATCACAAAAACAGAGACAAGAGCTGTCATTGTGACAGAAGAGGCCGTTTAAGTGACAATGTCACTCTCATAGACTGAATGGTTACGATAAGGTGGGTGATGAAGCTCAACTCCAGAAAGTGTGACACGCAGCGTTAAAATCCTGGTACAACACTGCAGCTACTGTTACAGTTGTAATGGCCCTACCTGCGATAGCAACAACAATTGTGTGGCAAAACCTGAATAAAAGGCAAACATGAATTACTAAGTGGACTATACAATTGGTTAGATTTAGTTAATATATGTGATTAGTCGCTAACTAGCGAATGTTAGCAAACGCCAGCTTAGCTTCTGCTCAGGCTAGCAATGAAATGGTGGACAGTAACGTTAGCTAGCTGCCTGAGCAGATACCGCGGGTCGGGAGAGAAAATATCACCTTGGTCAACAAGAGGATCACTTTACCTACCTTATTGCGAGACTTTTATCCTCCGAAGTGGCCTTCGATATCCAGGTTTGGATAATTACATCTGTGACATGTCCCAGGAGCTCCCTTTGGCGAGCTGTATGTGTAGTTCCCTACCACTTCCTACTGACGTGGAAGATTACTTTCTGAGCCACATCACTGCTACCGTGTGGCGGAAGGCTCAAACGCGAGAGCAATAATAAGGAGCGTTTTCCATTCAAAAACACTATTATAACTATTACATCAATTATTTATATCACGCTCTTTAAATTTGTATAATGTTGCAAGACACGAATTATTCTGTATTCCACCAGTGAATTTGACGGACCGTGGTCAAATGTATGAGACTATTTGTTCAGATTCCCTGTGGATATTGACTCCCTGAGTGAGTTCCCAAAATATGAACTGAAAGAAATAAGCCACTAAAAAGCTGCACTCAGCCTGTTGCCAATGCACTGACATTTTTAAATAAAGCTGATTTGCCTTATCACATTACGTAGGCCTACTTATAGGCCTAGAATACTTTATTTGTTGATAACAATATATATGAAGAAGAAGATGAACTTAAGAATGTATCATGTTTTCTGGTAATTCGGTGGATAAATCGTACATATTTAAATGGTAAGTGGATAAAAACAGGGTGAAATAAATAATAATAATAATATCATTATTATTATGCAATACACTAAACAACGTTTTTGACCTCACTGCCCTTTCATATTCAAATCTGTGAATAGTGATAATTGCAGCAAATGTTATTGTAAAAAATAAAATATACTTTAAAAATCTTTGTACAGCTAGTAAAAACATCATTGATTTTTTGTTTTTCACAGTGAATTTCAACTTCCACTTAAAGTTTATTGGTTCAGTAGAACTACTTCAGATATGATTCCTGCATCACAAATACATTACATTATTTTGGGGGAACTAAATATAGCTACTTTAGTGTTTTAACAAATAGTATATAACGGAATATAATATAATGCAGCACCCTCCAGTGGAAGCTAAGCCTTATTGATACATTCAGTGGATAAAACAATTGGGGAGTAGACTATCTTAGTATCTTCAGAGAATCTGTTAATGTATGTCAGTTGTGCAAACCACCAGCTACCTTAGACATTGTACACTATTGTATGGCTGCCAACACCACAACGTATTGCAATCATTCTTACACTGATTAACAACCACTACCATGGAAGTGTTTACATATATTAAAGTGGAAGTTTTCATGATAAGAAAGGTTTATGGTTCAAGTCAAGAGCAAAGTACTTGTTGACACTGCAGAACTTTTTTTCAGCTATATAACACATGCCCTTTATTTATGCTTGCTATAACAAATAGATTGTTTATTGTATTGTCATTTAATTAATTGTATTCTACTTTAAGGATCCTGTTCTCTGGGAATGGTTTCAAGTGTAGTTCCTCTTCAACCATCATTCAAAAATAGTGTAAAGGAGGAAATATATAATAACTGACTGCCACTGCCACTTCCAGGGACCCTTTGAATAATTTAACATTAATGAAGAATTTCATAGAAAACTAACACATAAATAAAAACAAACAATAAATAAATAAAATGGTGATAATGGTGAACAAAATCCAATCATTTAGGCCAACCTCATGTCTCCAAATAGTAACATCTCTGTCATACTGGTTACACATCTAAAGAAGAGGCGAAATATACACATTAGTTAAGTTAAAGGGCAACATTGTTTACCCAGCTGACAAAACTGAACCAACAGTAAACACTGAATAACATTATTACTATTATAACACGTAATGTTTACTTTTCAGAGACACATCATGTCACACCTGTTTACTTAGTCTGTGTGGCACACATCTAGTAACACAGGCTAAGACATTTTATTTAAGATGCTACATCCAAACTAGCTTTTCAAGGATCCAAGAAGGCCTTACATCTGTGTAAATCACAAAATGTGTGAGAAACCTAAAGTGACAGTCACAGCTTATTTTTTCTCTTTTCTTATATTTTATTGTTTGGTTCATTATAAGATAAGATAAGATATACTTTATTAATCAAACATTGGGATTTATTTTTGTTTTATTTTCTTATTACACATAATTAGAAATAAAAAAGAGTGGAAAGTAAAAAATTATACAATCCAGACATCTCCAAATAGAACAAAAAGATTGAAATATAAAAGTTGACCGTGAGAAAAAAATATGTTAACTATCTGACAAATAAAAAACTATGGGCTGAATTACAGCTAACACAATATAAAAGTGGGATATTATTTACATTTTGGTTGCAAGAAGACATTCAATTAAACATAATTGTAAAATTTACTTTGAGAAGTTATAAGTCAGTTAACAAAAGAGAAACTAGAGCAGTGAGTTATTGGCAAGCCAGGTGAGTTGTTGTAAAATATATGAAAAATGTTTGTTGCTGCATGCATTGTAAGGAAATGTGCATTTAACTGCCTAGCTTTTACTTTGACTTATTCTCACAGCAGGTACACAGGTGTAAACTAATAACATTAGAGAGGTTTATCTAAATGCTGTCAACTTGTTAACGTTGATACGACTATTTAGGTTGAGATATTAGCCGTATATTTGAATTTGTACTTTTATGAACGTGTTTGTTCAAGTTGGCAGCTCTCATGGATCAATAGTAGTCTTTAATTCAGGCACTCCTGGGTCTATCATGTTACAATGTTGATGTTAGGATGTCAACAAGCTAATTTACTTATGGGGAAGCTTGTACTAGTTGGCCATGTTTCGTCAGACATGCATCAACTCAACCTTTGTCTGTGCATTTTTATCGCAAAAATACGTTAACAATTTGTTTAGATATGTTGCCACAACTCGGCATTTAAAGTCGGTTACACTGTTTTGCTGATCTATTAAATCGATAATCTTCATACCAGACTGAAGGCAGGCTATGCAAACGATCCCAGAGCACCATGATGCAGCGACACGCAATGGTGACACTTCTGATCAAAACAAATAATATTAACACAAAAAATAGGACTTTACTTAAAACTAAATAGACTATTTCCAGGCTTATGCAAAACATATGCGAATCAATGTAGTCACATTCAAAAGTGTGACAAACTCCGGAACTGTTGACTAAAGTCAATTGTCTATTTAAAATAGTCATATTCAAAGTGTCTACTATTAACATAGACAAATAAATACCTGAAACAAATACACTTACAATTTAGAAGGTTGTAAATATTGAAATAGAATAGAAAATAACTGTCTACTTATTTGCCAAAAAAAATAGCAGAACATTTTCTTCGGCTTGCATGTGCAAGATCTGCTATTATAATGTGTAAATTAAAACACAAAGCACTACATCCAGAAAGCATTTAAAAAACACAGTAGAAGGCAAGCTACATTTCAATGAACACCAGGTAAACTGATCAATCCATGTTAAAAACCTATATACAATGCTGACTCCAAAAAGTGACTGTCCTTGGCTATTAAAATGTTGTATAGGGCAACAGGGCTACATTATTTTATATAAATGTGGATTTTCTTTATGCAAAGGTGACTGTACATTTTCCATGAGGGCAGTATGGAAAACAAGTGTCAGTTTTGGTGCCATTTTCTCTTTTCGACGAAAACGTTTTAAAAGTGTGTTCATTAACTGCGGATCAGTGATTTGATTACATTACGGTAGGTTATAATAATGATGCAGCTCAGGATTGGTTCAGAGCTCCACATTTACGAAACACTGAGGTGTGTGGCCTCTAGGCGGCGACATGGAGCCCCTTTTCTGTAAAAACAACATCTCACCTTCTTTCTTTAGTCCAAGTGCTGGAGCACGTTTGAGTGACCATGGAGTGCATTTGCTGTCATGTAGTTCAGCGTTAACACGGCGTGAATATTAGAAGAGGGGGACTTTAGCGTGGATACGAGGAGGCACAGTCGAGCCATGTCTGCACGGGAGGAAGGAGAGCTTTTGCACAGTAAAACAAGGCACCACGACGGAGCTGGAAGTGTAAACAGCTCAGAGGGCTTCAGGAACGGCTATGTGAAGAGCTGCGTCACCCCTCTCAAACAGGACCATCACAGGGGATTTTTGTTTAACGTGTGCAGGTTTTCCAACGAAGACATTCTTAATTCAAAATTGTTAAAGATATCTGCCCTTTACGTCGGCGCGTTTGTATTCTTCGCAGTTTCTTTCCTCATTTCTAGGAGCTTGCAAAGTGACTCGCTGTGGGATTTGCGGACTTTTTTGTCGGGCTTCTCCCAGTCCATCAGTCCTTTATTCAGCATAGGATGTGCTTTTTTCTTTCTCACCTTTTACCTGAGGAGGAAAAAGAAGGAGAGCAGTAAATGTTGGCTCCTGTCACTACCAGCATCGTGTTACCTCGGGGATTTTTTTGTTTTGCGGTTTTTGCAATGGGGAGAGGACCAACACCAGATGCAAATGGTGGGCAGGTTGTTATTCGTGTTGGGATGTGTGGGTCTGCTCACACTGATTCCAACTCTGAAACTCAAACACAGTGTTCTTATCCTGGTTTTTGCCAGCGTTGTGTGGCTGGTTTCTTTCACAAGTTTGAGCGGTCTGCCTGCACTGCTCCGACCTCTCTTCGCCTGCTTTGCGGGGGTTTCGGGCTCCCTGTTGGGGCTCTGTTTTGACCGCTACTACCCGTCGAGGGAAGCACCGGGTGGGATTTCCACCGCGGAGGAAAAGGTCCCAGTGATCAGACCTAGGAGAAGGTCCAGTTGTGTTTCACTTGGGGAAACGTCGACCAGCTATTATGGCAGTTGTAAAATGCCTCGCAGACCTTCGCTTCCCTGCATATCCAGAGAACAGGTAGGTGCTCCCTGCAGGACCGTGTCTGTTGTTATTGTTCTAAAGTAGGCCCGCTGATCATCCACTGCTACCCCGAGTGCACATGTGCAGCAGAGGAGGAAAACACCCAGTCTTATTATGTCATGATAAAGCTCTCAAAGCAAATCAAACTACTGACTGCTGAAGAAAAAGAACATTCCCTCTGAGAACTAAATCAGCTTAACACAGTTATTAGATGCAATAAGTACATTCCTGGTAGTTGAGCTTTTCTGGTAAAATATTTTAATAAGATTACATTTGGTCATTAGAAGTAGTATATTAGCTTTTGCATCATTTCTGTATTTCAACAAATTATGAAAAGGTGTGTTTTATAGCCTACACATAC